ACTCAGGGACACATAATCGTTGAATTAAAGAGTATGTCAGACAACATGCAGAGGAGTGGCAGAGGAGGCAATGTTTTAGGCACTATTCGCAGCCAGAGGCCAGTGCTCCCGGTGTCATCCAGCGGTCGTGTCTCCACCGACAACCCTGCCGTCATTGATTGGTTGGCTCGGTCGTCTTCCTCTTCCCAGGTCACCTCTGACACCTACAGCCAACGGTCGGTGGGTACGTCAGACACAACCGTTAGTTGGCATGGCCCGGGAGCAAGCCCACTGAAATCACATGTCCTCTACCTGCCCCTGTCCTTTGCTGTTCCCTCACCAAGCGAAGTATCGCATGCTGTGGGCTCAGCCCCACTGTACAGTGAGGAAGAGCTAACAGAGGGCGGTCAGGAACGGGGGGAGACATCGGCCTTTTCAGCAGCCAGGCGAAGAAGTACTGGCGAGGAGAGTGGCTCGGTAGCCGGTCTAGAGACAGGTCTGTCTCCTGACCCAGACGCAGCCGAGGGGGCTAGTAGTGAGGCGGAGACCGTACTTGATGATGATGAGGAGGTTGATCGCACTTGGCTGCCTCGTCGTCATCAGGCAATTTCTTCCGCATCATCAGGAGAAGAGGGTGCCAGCTTGGCAGCGAGCGAAACAGTCGGTGGGTTGCCCAGGAGGCAGCAGGGTCGCATCAGTGTCAGTGGAGCCAAACGTCCACGGAGTAGAGCACCAGCTCCACTGCAGCCTACCACCACGGCCAGTAGTGGTGCCGGTGCGCACGGAGGAAGTAGCAGTCAGCCAGTGAGGAGTAGCGGGGGCAAAGTTTCCTACTCGGTGGTGTGGCAATTTTTCGTCAAGCCGCCCGAGGAAGTAAACGTAGCCGTATGTCGACTATGTGGCCAGAAATGCAAGCGTGGCCAGGGGGCCCATGTTGGGACTACAGCGTTGCGTCAGCATATGCAGCGTCACCATTCGGTGGCCTGGGAAAACCGTGATAAAGATACGGCGGTTCTGCCTGCCCCAGCCCCCGCTCCATCACCCGCTCCGTTACTTGCTCCGTCACCCGACGTCGTCAATCACCCTCTATCAGCCAGTCAAGGCTCCAACACCTCTGCTGAGGGGAGTTGTCGCTCGTTGGCATCTTCCGCTCGTTCAGATGCTCCTTCTCCTGCTACTCCTCTTCTCGGATTCCGTCAACAGTCTTTCTTGGAATCCGTTTCCAAGAGACAACAGTTTGCGAGCACGCACCCGACGGTGCAAAAGCTGAACGTCCTCCTGTCCAAGTTGCTGGTGCTGCAGTCCCTCCCTTTCCAACTGGTGGACTCAGCACCTTTCCGAGAAATGATGGCTTGTGCCGCGCCGCGGTGGAGAGTGCCAAGCCGTCATTTCTTTGCCCAAAAGGCAGTGCCAGCCCTGCATTCACATGTAGAAGAGATGGTGGGCCAGTCTTTGAGCATGTCGGTCTCTGCCAAAGTGCACGGCAGCGCCGACGTGTGGAGCTGTAACTACGGTCAGGGACAGTACATGTCATTTACGGCCCACTGGGTGAACGTGGTGCCGGCACAGCCGCACCAGCAACTTGGACAGGTCACGACGCTTTTGCCTCCACGTTTGCACGTCCTTGGTCCAGCAAACATGTCCGCCTCTACCCTCCTTTTTTCCGCCGTGTCCTCAGCCGCCACCCCCGTGCCAAGTCCCATTACCCGACCGGCATATCACATGTGCAGGGCGCAACGGTGTCACGCTGTGCTGCACCTGGTATGCCTTGGCGAACGTAGTCACACAGGGGAGGAACTTCTGAGTGTAATGAACAGAGAAATCGACAGATGGCTGTCTCCGCGCAAACTGAAAATCGGAACCATGTTGACCGACAACGGAAAGAACATGGTGTCTGCTCTGCGTCAAGGAAGGTTGTGCCATGCGCCATGCATGGCTCACGTGTTCAATCTGGTTGTCAAGCGGTTCCTAAAATCCACCATCCCACTGCAAGACATCCTTAAAATGTCACGTAAACTGTGCATGCATTTCAGCCATTCCTACACCGCAAAGAACACCCTCATTGAGCTGCAGCGGCAGAACGGAATTCCACAGCATCGCCTGATCTGCGACGTTGCAACAAGGTGGAATTCAACCCTACACATGTTAGACCGCCTTTACGAGCAGCGAAAGGCCATCACCGATTTCCTGATGTTACAAGCGGATAAAGGTACTCCCCTGTGTAACTTAGATGTCAGCCATTGGCAGCTCATGCGTGACACCTGCCGCTTGCTCAGGCCCTTTGAGGAGGCCACGCTATTCGTGAGTCGGCAGGACTATGGGATGAACGACGTCATTCCTCTGTTGCACGTCCTGGAACAAATGCTGTTAACAATGGCTGGTCAGGGTGCGGTAGACGTGGCACAGATCTCAACGCCACATGACCCCTGTGGGGGCAGGACAGGAAGAAGAGGAGGAGGTAGAGGAGGACATTTGTGCTCAGGAATTATTGAGTGAAATGGGTGGTTTTTCCACTCAGCGGACAGGAGTGGAGGAGCAGGAGCATCTGGTAGAGGAGGAGGAGGGAGAGACAGAGGACCCAGACGCACCGTGGCAGTATGCTGTGGGAGATGGAGGCAGGGAGTCCCTCGCATTCCTTGGCACAAATGGCCCATAGCATGCTCGGTTGCTTGCGTAGCGACAGCCGAATAATAACCATCAGACAGAGGGATGACTTTTGGCTGTCCACCTTGTTGGACCCTCGCTACCGGTCCAAAATGGTGGCCTTTTTCACACCTGCTGAGAGGGAGGCCAAAATTACGTACTATAAAAACCACCTATGTAGTCAGTTGGTCTCTGCCTTTGTGCGCCAACGTCCATCCTCAGACACTGTGGGCCCTGTGCGCTCGCGTTCCGCTGGCATGGCAGCAGGGGAGGGGTGGGGTGGTAGGAGCAGTGGCAGCTCCACCAGCAGCGGCTGCCTCAGTCTGCACAGTCGATGATGAGTAGCTTTTTCACCAGCGCAGTGAGGAAACTACTAACCAGCCGCAGCAGCAGCAGCAGCAGCAGCATCAGGTGGACCTGGAGCAGGAGCTCAAACAACAGGCTTGGGCCTACTTGGACAGCACCCTGCCAACCGAGGTAGACAATCCCCTTGACTACTGGGCAACGAAACTTGACCTTTGGCCCCAACTAGCTGAATTTGCCCTTGAAAGGCTGTCATGCCCGGCCAGCGTGGCATCGGAGCGCGTGTTTAGTGCGGCAGGAGGTATTGTAACTCCGCGGAGGACACGACTGTCCACCCAAAGTGTGGAGAGACTCACGTTTGTGAAAATGAATCAGGCGTGGATTAGTCTGGATTTCAAACCACCAGTTCCTGACACAACTGACTAAATCCGCCATGAATCATGCCTCAAACATGTGCCACTTTCAGGTCTCCTCACACTGCTGGTGTGTTGAAATTTTTTGACATAGGGTGCTGGCAGATTACGGGCCTCCCATAGCTGCTGCCAGGCCCCTAATCTGCCATAGGCCCCTATATACCGCCTCCTCATGCTGCTGCCAGGTCCAGAGTCTCTCATGGGTCCCTGTACGGCCTCCCATTGCTGCTGTCTCCATCGCCACACTCTGCCATGTGCCACTTTCAGGTCTCTCCTCACACTGCTGGTGTGTTGAATTTTTTGACATAGGGTGCTGGCAGATTACGGGCCTCCCATAGCTGCTGCCAGGCCCCTAATCTGCCATGGGCCCCTATATACCGCCTCCTCATGCTGCTGCCAGGTCCAGAGTCTCTCATGGGTCCCTGTACGGCCTCCCATTGCTGCTGTCTCCATCGCCACACTCTGCCATGCATGTGCCACTTTCAGGTCTCCTCACACACTGGTGTGTTGAATTTTTTGACATAGGGTGCTGGCAGATTACGGGCCTCCCATAGCTGCTGCCAGGCCCTAATCTGCCATGGGCCCCTATATACCGCCTCCTCATGCTGCTGCCAGGTCCAGAGTCTCTCATGGGTCCCTGTACGGCCTCCCATTGCTGCTGTCTCCATCGCCACACTCTGCCATGTGCCACTTTCAGGTCTCTTCACACACTGCTGGTGTGTTGAATTTTTTGACATAGGGTGCTGGCAGATTACGGGCCTCCCATAGCTGCTGCCAGGCCCCTAATCTGCCATGGGCCCCTATATACCGCCTCCTCATGCTGCTGCCAAGTCCAGAGTCTCTCATGGGTCCCTGTACGGCCTCCCATTGCTGCTGTCTCCATCGCCACACTCTGCCATGTGCCACTTTCAGGTCTCCTCACACACTGCTGGTGTGTTGAATTTTTTGACATAGGGTGCTGGCAGATTACGGGCCTCCCATAGCTGCTGCCAGGCCCCTAATCTGCCATGGGCCCCTATATACCGCCTCCTCATGCTGCTGCCAGGTCCAGAGTCTCTCATGGGTCCCTGTACGGCCCATCCTCCCATTGCTGTTGCTGCTGTGCTGTCTCCATGTGCCACACTCTGCCATGCCATAGTGCCACTTTCAGGTCTCCTCACACTGCTGGTGTGTTGAATTTTTTGACATAGGGTGCTGGCAGATTACGGGCCTCCATAGCTGCTGCCAGGCCCCTGCCATCTGCCATGGGCCCCTATATACCGCCTCCTCATGCTGCTGCTGCCAGTCCAGAGTCTCTCATGGGTCCCTGTACGGCCTCCCATTGCTGCTGTCTCCATCGCCACACTCTGCTGCCATGTGCCACTTTCAGGTCTCTCTCACACTGCTGGTGTGTTTCAATTTTTTGACATAGGGTGCTGGCAGATTACGGGCCTCCCATAGCTGCTGCCAGGCCCCATATCTGCCATGGGCCCCCGTATACCGCCTCCTCATGCTGCTGCCACCAGTTGCAACAAGGGTCCCTGTAGGCCCCATTGCTACAGGCCATGTGTTGGGTCCTGTACGGCCCATAGGTTGCTGGCAGATTAGCAGGCCTTCCATCACAGGCCATTTCTGTGACCTCCACGCTCGGATAAAACAGTGTGACCATGGGTCCCGAGGTGCCACTTTCCAGGTCATGCCATTTCAGGTCTCCTCACACTGCGGTTGTCCATTTTGTGGACATAGGTTGCTGGCAGATTACGGGCCTCCCATAGGTGCCAAGCCAGGCCCCCATATCGGCCATGGGCCCCCGTACCGCCTGGTCACGCTGCTGCTGGTCCCACAGTGTGACCTGGGTCCCTGTACGGCCTCCCATTGCTTCCACTCTGCCATGTGCCACTTTGAGGTCTCCTCACACTCCTGCGGTTTTCCATTTTGTCATAGGTTGCTGGCAGATTACGGCCTTCCATAGGTGCCGCCAGGCCCCATATCGGCCATGGGCCCCCGTACCGCCTGGTCACGCTGCTGCTGAGCCCACAGTGTGACCTGGGTCCCTGTACGGCCTCCCATTGCTTCCACTCTGCCATGTGCCACTTTGAGGTCTCCTCACACTCCTGCGGTTTTCCATTTTGTCATAGGTTGCTGGCAGATTAGCGGCCTTCCATAGGTGCCGCCAGGCCCCATATCGGCCATGGGCCCCCGTACCGCCTGGTCACGCTGCTGCTGGTCCCACAGTGTGACCTGGGTCCCTGTACGGCCTCCCATTGCTTCCACTCTGCCATGTGCCACTTTGAAATCTCCTCACACTCCTGCGGTTGTCCATTTTGTCATAGGTTGCTGGCAGATTACAGGCCTTCCATAGGTGCCGCCAGGCCCCATATCGGCCATGGGCCCCCGTACAGCTCCACTGCAGCCTACCACACAGCCAGTAGTGGTGCCGGTGTGCACGGAGGATTTAGCCTACAGTAGCCAGTGCTGGCAGTAGCGGCCTGCCATTGTTTCCTACCAGGCCCCAATTTTCGGTCAAGCCACTTCCCCGAGGTTTAAACGTATAGGTTGGTACGCTGCGACTATGGGCCAAGTCAGGTGCGTGGCCAGGGGGCCCTGTACGGCCTCCGCTGCTGTTGCGTCCCACAGTGTGCATCTGCAGTACGCCTCCCATTGCTGGCCACTCTGCCATGTGCCACTTTGAGGTCTCCTCACACTCCTGGGTTTCCATTTTGTCATAGGTGCTGGCAGATTAGCGGCCTTCCATAGGTGCCGCCAGGCCCCAATCGGCCATGGGCCCCCGTACCCTCCTGGTCACGCTGCTGCTGAGCCCACAGTGTGACCTGGGTCCCTGTACGGCCTCCCATTGCTTCCACTCTGCCATGTGCCACTTTGAGGTCTCCTCACACTCCTGCGGTTTTCCATTTTGTCATAGGTTGCTGGCAGATTAGCGGCCTTCCATAGGTGCCGCCAGGCCCCATATCGGCCATGGGCCCCCCGTACCGCCTGGTCACGCTGCTGCTGAGCCCACAGTGTGACCTGGGTCCCTGTACGGCCTCCCATTGCTTCCACTCTGCCATGTGCCACTTTGAAATCTCCTCACACTCCTGCGGTTTTCCATTTTGTCATAGGTTGCTGGCAGATTACAGGCCTCCCATAGGTGCCGCCAGGCCCCAAATCGGCCATGGGCCCCCGTACCGCCTGGTCACGCTGCTGCTGGGCCCACAGTGTTATATACTCGCTCGCCTTTTACGAACAGCTGGGTCCCTGTACGGGCCTCCCGCTCCCACTCTGCCATGTGCCACTTTCAGGTCTCCTCACACTCCTGCTGGGTTCCATTTTGTCATAGGTTGCTGTATGGCCTCCCATTGCTGCTGCCTCCACCGCCACACTGTGGCTCCAAACACTGGTTTTGGCCCCGTGACTGGCCAAAATGAGTGAAGTGTGCGGTGATTCTAAGATCGACGGCACTCATCTGCATGTCATACTGACTGACAGTATAATTTCTCTTCCCCAGCAGACTCCAAGGGCATTTAAATTTAAATTAAAGGTACAGTGTTCTGCACTAATATTAAGTCTCTAGCTGAAGCCTAGAAACACCCTTTTTTAAGTTAAATTCACAGCGAATTTATTCGACTACGAATCGAATATTGTCCACGAATTGCCGAATGATTTTTAAAGGAAATACAAAGGCAGTTGTCTACCTTTGCATTTAACCTCAGATTTTTAAAAAATAAAATAATTTTTAAAAAAATCTTTGTACCCAACCCTGGTTGCTCGTCACTTTATTTTACTGTTTCAGTGCTGTCTTGCATATATAATTGAATGAAAAAGGATTTTGTGACATATAAAAAAATCATCCTGTTGAATGACCATTATTATATTATATTTCAATATTTTTATTTGAAAAAGTTGATATACTAAGAACAAGAAACATCAGAAAAACATAACCATCCTACATGATGTGTTGAGGCGAATATAAACCGGTTCATGAATATATAGGCAGCGTAAGAAGTATCAAATCAATGATTTTGTAGACAAGAAAATACAACCCCCATATGGTAGCAAAATATAACATTGTGTCAGTAAACATGGGCAGTTTCTAATTACCTGATTAACAAAGGAGACCAAAAAAAAAATTAAATTAAGAAGAGTCAAATAAAAAAAAAAGAGAAGATCAAGAAAAAAAAAAGAAAAGAAAGAAAAAGAAAGGGGGGGGGGGGGAAAAAAAGGGG